AAACCCGGGCTGGCTCAGAGGAAGTCAACACTCTCTTTGAAAGCCCTTCACACATCTATTTTTTTGAATGCTTCACGACTACATCACACATACACACACACAATACCTGCGTTTCCTAACACTAATGTGATAATACCCAGCAATAACAGTGACCTACACACACACATGCACACACCCTAAAATGTATTGAACCCCCCCTCCCTCCCTTCCCTACCTCCACTTATTCCTTATGAATTTCATGTAAATATTGTATTGTTCTTGTATAATGCAATTTGTCACTTTCGTTCTTGATGCTTCCAATCAAGAAAAAAAGGGAATACTTTCACTGGAGCCTATTCCTATGATGCATGCTTTTGGTGGACGAGGAAACCGGAGTGCCCAAAGGAAACATGGGAAGAAACATACAAACTCCTCAAAAAAAAGGCCAACGACCTTCTCGCTGTGAGCCATGTACGATGACAGTGATTGCCAAAGTGGGGTCCTGCAGGTTCTCCAAACAACATGCAATTGACTTTTAGACCTTTTAATCAAATGTACATTATTTGACTGTAATACTGCATACAAATGAACAGTGGATTTTGTCCAAACACATATCCATGGGTTAAAGTTGAAAAAATTCCTGAGCCTGAACCATCTATATGAATCATAGAATGATCACTAATAAGCGTTTTTTATAAGCGCCTTTATACGCTCATACATATAATTTATATCTATTTATTGCCAACAACTGATGTTTATTATAAACATCAGTTGTTGGCAATAAATACATCATCTGACTATTGAATTGTTACTTAAATGTAAAGCCTCACCTTGCCAAGACCTTTCTGCAAGTACCCCTAGTTTGGATTTGTGTGATAATGTAAAAAAAAAAAAAACATACCACATCACAGTAAGTGAATTTACTATTTTCTTTTTTTTAATTATTATTGATGTTATTACTAACATTTTATGTGTAAACTGTAAACTGATTAAACATCCAAACTAGACATCAGATATGACATACAAAAACTAAAAACACTGGATCAGGCAACAAGAACACTTCCAGATTCAACCTTAAATATATAAATAAACCTTAACTTTTAAATTCTACTTATTAAACATTTAGCTTTCAACACAAATAAATGAAACTAAAGTGCAAATGAGCTTTGTGCTGTGTGTCTTCATAAAGCACCTGTGTTAACTTTCAATAGACTTTGATTTGGTAAAACATTACAAAACAACACAAATGCTAACAGTACTGTTTGAAATATTCATTTCTTTTTCTTTTGATTAAGGGTGTGAATTATCTGTATGCTTTCTTTTTAACATGTTGGGCGGAGGGTTTAATGAGGAGGCTACTTTGTCTGAACAATTAAATAGAGGGAAAAAACCGCATGGTCCAGAGGAGGAAGCAGCTGGTGCAGAGGAGAGTTGTCTGGCTGGTCCAGAGGAGGAGGCAGCTGGTGCAGAGGAGAGTTGTCTGGCTGGTCCAGAGGAGGAGGCAGCTGGTGCAGAGGAGAGTTGTCTGGCTGGTCCAGAGGAGTGGGCAGCTGGTGCAGAGGAGGAGGCAGCTGGTGCAGAGGAGAGTTGTCTGGCTGGTCCAGAGGAGGAGGCAGCTGGTGCAGAGGAGAGTTGTCTGGCTGGTCCAGAGGAGGAGGCAGCTGGTGCAGAGGAGAGTTGTCTGGCTGGTGCGGTGGGGCTGCAGCCTTTTTATCATCTCCTCTGGACCAGCCAGACAACTCTCCTCTGCACCAGCTGCCTCCTCTTCTGGACCAGCCAGACAACTCTCCTCTGCACCAGCTGCCTCCTCCTCTGGACCAGCCAGACAACTCTCCTCTGCACCAGCTGCCTCCTCCTCTGGACCAGCCAGACAACTCTCCTCTGCACCAGCTGCCTCCTCCTCTGGACCAGCCAGACAACTCTCCTCTGCACCAGCTGCCTCCTCCTCTGGACCAGCCAGACAACTCTCCTCTGCACCAGCTGCTTCCTCCTCTGGACCATGCGGTTTTTTCCCTCTATTTAATTGTTCAGACAAAGTAGCCTCCTCATTAAACCCTCCGCCCAACATGTTAAAAAGGACATTCAAAATTCTGTCCACATTTGTTTGTGGACACTCAATGTTTAAGAAAAAGGTTTCCCTATCAACTTGGTGCTAGTGCACAGCGCAGTTTTATCAACTGCAAATGATTAATGATAATTAAATCTACCAGCGGTAGTGATGGTTCTGAACGACAGGTTATTTTCTGCGATAAAGCCACAGATAGTTTTAGGTCACAGACACAGTCCACCAGAGCAAGCCTAGTCTCAGTTGTCGCTGAATCTGATGCACCCAGGTAAAGAAGTGTGGGAAAGTGCACGGACAGCTGCCAAGTGCGCAGTTTTGAGCTGGTGGTGAATCCAAAGCTGTTTGATTTGTTTTCTCATTACTCCCATATAAAAAAATAATAATAGCGAAGTACGAACAAGCACCGGACACCTTCATCTTTTTGCACCATGAAGCAACAGAATCCCATCGTCTCCACCTCATCCAGCCATGCCCACCTCCATTTATTTTTCACTCCGTTATCAACAGCAACTTATACAGCTCCTTCTTCCATAAACAACGATCCATGATTGTGATTGTGCGTGCATGCTAGGCTAGCTTTGATGAATGAATATAAGACCTGCTAACACACACCTTTCTTCTGCGAGTTTCTTCCGTTCGCTCTCGTTGATTTGCTTTTTTATCACGCAGTTTTGCATGGGGATCGCCACCAAGATATTATCAAAAGCTCACCAAGACATGCTTGTCCCCATTCCCAGTCACAGCAAAGTACATATTGTACATTCCGTTAAATAAAAAAGCATTGCGTTTGGTAAACGTTAATTATGTCCTACCTTTCCTCTGATAACGCGCCCAGTTTACCGGTCCGCGGGCTGCTGGCTGTTATTGCTCCGTTCGGGATTACATTTTCCTTGTCCTCTTCTCCTTTTCAAAAGCTCCGTGCACTTTTCAGAAACTTTCACCTCCGTGTTACCATCGATAACTTGGCTACGTCCCATTGCCTTGAATCATTTACGGAGCGCTCATGTAGCTAGCCACGGCACGTTCAAGGCCCACTCGTGATTATATTACTTTTTATTTCTATATACATATAAATTAGTGCTGTCCAACGATTAAAATATTTAATCGCGATTAATCGCATGAATTTCATAGTTAACTCGCGATTAATCGCAAATTAGTCACACATTTGCGTGCTGTGTGCAATTGCTTTTTTTATTGAAAACAATGTGTAGTGTTATATTACACACTAACATTTGATGCAAAATCATCAATAAATGGATGACAAAATAAATAATTGGTAACAAAAAGCCCCTTCAATGTGTGTGTGTGGGTGTGTGTGTGTATGTGTGGGTATAGACCATAGACTGTATAGAAACATCATGGTGTCATTATGATGATGATAAACAATCTGTAAATATTTTGTAAATTTGTTCATGTAAATACTCTATGCTGTTTCTCTGTTTACCTTCGGTATATCTATGACTGTATACTGTTTGCTTGTATTGCCTTTTTTATTAACCCCTCCCCCCATCTCCCACTTCATGTCCCTCCCCTCCTATGTGCCCTTCTGGGTTTCTTCTTTGGCCCCCTGTATCTCCAACTACATATTGTTTGTAATCTCTGTCTACAATGTATCTGAACTAGTCCTTTTCTTTGTTTCTATGTGTTTGTCTGCAATAAATAAATTTTTTTTTTTTTTTTATTTATTTTTATCGCGCGATAAAAAAAATGACGGCGTTAATATTGATTTGCGTTGACGCGTTAATAACGCGCTATTTTGGACAGCCCTAATATAAATACAATTATATTCAAATTATTAATATATATCTAGATATATACAACAGATTCACACGTATTACTATATATTTTGTTATAATTAACCATTTCATTGTGTGTATTATATTATTATTATATATTTTGTTTTTTTTTCAGACCAATGTCATTTGACGGAAATCCGTCACTTAGACGGAACTCTTTAATCCCTGCGCTATACACATGCAATCCTTTCATACAATTGGTAGAACACACTTGAACCTTTTTCAAATGACAGCAATCATTATTTATTTATATATATATATAAAAAAAAAAAAAAAAAGTGATTTTTTTTTTTTTTTTTTCTCACGCCGGATTTCCGGCACGGTGCCGGAAAACTTTAAGCCCTGCATATCCCAAAAAAATGATATATATTTTTGAAAATGTGTCAACTTTTCATTCCTATCGCTACAATCTTCAGTATGTTTTGTTATCTGCTGTAAATGTGAGATAACTAGCTCAAGAATGGGGTGAAACTTTAGTTGTCCATCCATCCATCCATCAATTTTCTACCCTTTAATCCATTTCTGGGTCAGGGGGGTGGCAGTCAGAGATGCCACCCAAGTCTCATAGCACCATAGCAACTTTAGTTGTAAGACACTAAAATACATCTGGCTTTTCACAAAATGACTTGGTTAAGAACAAATTGTAAGCCTTGATGATATTTTTTTATTATCCCTTGGCTGTTTTTGCAAAAGAACTATTCAAATACTGATTTTTAACAACTTCAGTCCTGTAAAGTATTTGCTTAAGTGTAAATGGAATTACGTTGTAGATTTTTGAAAATAAAATGTGAATACTTAGTGGGGGGTCGCTGAGAGGTTTCTTGATCTACTCGGATTGAACCTTTATTCCTCCCACAGTGGGGAAATGTCAGTGTCATCATTGCACACATATTACAGGGGAATAAGAGCACTAATAAAACCTCAAACACGATAAATATATATTACTAAAGATCATACATAATCCGCCGTACAGCCCAGATTTGAACATGTAACGCTAATAGTTGCAAATCACACACACACACAAATCTCTCTTCTACAGAAAGAGCGACTTTCACATCACAGCTACAGTAAATGGGACAAAAAAAGCTTTATTCATGTCAACTCCATGGTAACGCCCGGGGTACAAGGCTTTCTGAACAGTGTGTCCTCAGCGACGGTACCTTAGACTCCTTGATCTTGACTGCGATGACCTGTTTTCTCTGACGGATGATCTCCACCAGCTCGTCGCACTCCTCCACCAGTTTGGCTTCATGCATGGCAGTGTTCACCTGCACAACACACACACACACACACGTGCCGTTAAAGCTGGGGTACCTAACTCTTCTGTCGTGGATAATACATGTGTTTTGTTCCAACCGAAAGAATCTTGTAAAAGTAAAAACGTTGTGAGCAAAGTAGAGACAAGTGCATGCTGTTTTTTTTTTTTTTTTATCTCATAAGAAAACATGTGATCTTTTGCATAGTTTATTCGTCCCACAGTGGGGAAATTTCATTGTTGCAGCGCACACATACAGGAGAGTAGTAAGAACACACAAAATATACAATATAAATAGCTGCTATGCGTCTTAGCTAGCTGTAAATGTTTCAATATCAATGTATCGGTATATCTATCTATATCTATCTATATATATACAGTATATGAAGTAAAGTAATATACATATAGGGCAGGATAAAAAGTAGATAAAGTGACATTCAGTGGACATTCTAAAGTCGCAGTATTGCACATGATTACAGTATTTACTATATACAGATGAATGACATGTATAGACTCAGCAGTTCTCATCGTACAGTCTGACAGCAGCAGGAAGGAAAGACCTGCGGAACCTCCCCTGTCATGATGTGGACTTTTTGGATTATTCTAACCTGGTTTTATTTTTCTATTTTGTTCTCTTGGAGTTTGAGTTGCTTCCTGTCTGTTCTGTTGATTGTGGCCCCACCCTAATGTGATTCACCTGTGTCTCCCTGTGTGTATTTATACCCTGTGCTTTTCCTCACTTGTCAGATTCAGATTTTTTTTTGTACATAATCTTTGATTTATTTTATTCAATTACATTTGATTTTCAGTCCTGCATTTTGGGTTCCCTTTTTCTTCATTCCCCCACGTGACATCACCTCTCCTATTTGATGTTTTGGGTTGAGAGGCGATTGTCTAAGTGAGGGTTGCCTCCTTTTTTTCTCTTTTCTGGACAAAAAAGCCGACATAATATATTCCATTATTAGTCTCACAGTGGAGAAATGTCAGTGTCATTGTTGCGCACATTTCAGCAGAGAAAGAAGGAAATAAGAGCACTCAGATTGCACACATCAAATAGTCTATTATTTCAGATAATAAACAATACAATATAAATAAGAAAAAGAATAAAAAAAAAAAAATCTGGAGTTATAATTGCACGTTGTTCAGAAGTATTTACAGATGTATATATTGTTCTTAAGCAGTGGAGAATATGAGCAGAATAAGCATCAGTAATAATATCAACAGGTAAAGTGACGAGTGAATGACAGAAGTATCAGATGGAGAGATATGGATGTCAAAAGCCAATGTATCTAACAAAACTGAGAGCCAGGACCTATGGACATTTTACATATGTGATGTTTTTGTGTGGTTTAAAAGTTACACATCCCAATTTGAAGACACCATACAACGCTCTTAGTTCTCTTCTCTTTTTGTCTGATTCAGAGCTGTGAAGTGTAAAATGGTATTATCACAGAGAGGCGCTTTACAATGCACAGTGCAAACTTAATCAAGGATGTTGCTGCAGAGATGTTCACCTGGATTAGAGTCAACAGAGATGAGAAACACATGCTGTCAATAACATTATTCAGTCGTCTAAAGTCTGCTGCGGAGTCTGTCAGGCACAAAATCAAAATCAACCTTATGAACGACCTTCTCTGAGCTGAATGCGGTGTAACGTTATTTTATGCTAATGAAAACATACCTTGTTTAAATTCATGTTTTGCCAAGGCTTAAATTGAGGTGATACTTTGTGTAAATATTTGAGGCTAAAGCTGCCAATCTGCTTCTAAACCGAACCCAGAGAATGTGTGTCTATTTAACACAACAGTTCAGTAGTATAGTGTAAAAAATTAGGCTGATGTGTAGCATTCTTTTCATGCTGTCTTCACTGTTGATTGGAAATATGTACGGATGTTTCTTCAAATACAAGAGCAGATGTATAGACATGGAGACAAATATGATTTTCAATGTATTCTTTCAAGACTCAAGGTATGAAAAACAGAGAACTTTCAAAAGATGAATAGATTTTTCTGGTTTAAAGGTGAGAGCCAGAAACATCAATTGTATTTCATTCCAAAAATAAACTTATTTATATTTCTGAACATATAGGACACCATTCCAAACAATAATATACATATAAAATAGTCCCTTCCCTATGGCATAGATACAGCCAGTAAGATTTTCAGGGGAGAAAAATTAAACCAATGGGCCTCAAGGATCTCAATTAATTTTGACCAATCAGGGAGGTGAGCACGGGCGGCTCTAACCAGCGCTTGTCAAAAAGTTTAATTCTGTCTTTGCAGTTTGAAAAGTGTCAGATGCTCACTTTAAGATTGAACAGAGCTGAGTAAAAGCTCAACAAGTCAGAATTTACAGACAATGACGTTGCACCCATCCTAAAACACGGTTCATTAAGTCATAATGTGTTTCTGGGTAATTCACAATCATTACACTACTTGTTTGCTATATTATTACAAAAGTCACATCCTGGCTCCAAAAAGCTCATTAGAAGATGTTGATCCACTGAAGCCTCATTATTCACCCTCACACTTTTCGTTAAAGTTCATTCATGACTGTAGCTAGCTAATTAAACAAGACCTTGTATAGGTCATTTACTTATAGGTCATATATCCTGTACGTTATATGAATCTATAAACATCAGACTGCCACAAAAAAGAAAGCACAATCTGTGGTTTAGCACTCTCTATGATCCTGGTGTTTTCATGTTGATCTTTTCTTAGTAAATCCAGATATGAACCACATAATCATTGACCAATCAGATGTCTTCATTCGCGATTCAAGCTTGCCATAGCAACCGTCTTGACAACACATCTGCCCCTTTTACGCCCAAAGCTAACACAGCGGAAGAAATTCCCATAGGAAGTTGGCTTCGGCAGGCTTATGTTCATAACGGGCTATTAAGGCTATGATGATGTCACACTCGGTCAGTCCACTCCTAATAAACGGTCTATGATGAAAACACAAGCAGGCTCCACTTCAACGTGAGCAGTCTGGACCAAGCTGTTCACTTCCACTCAGGAAAGCATAGAGCACGAGTTTGACCCACATCCAAACTAGAAACTAACCAGCTCCATTAACATTAAATTTAACCAGATTTGGTGGTGGTGGTGGTGGGGGGGCAAACAAGGCAAAAGGACAGAAGGGAAGCTGTATTTACTTTCTTTATGGAGATGCCATTACATTAACATTATTTCAGAGTTCACCATGTGTCAATATATGTACTATTTCATCTATATACAATTGAACCAAAGAATAAAACAAAAAACTGAATATATAAAGTACCTGTATTGGAGATTAATGAAATGGTACCCAGTCTGAGGCCGATATGTTATTGTTGAGCATTTCAATAATGACTGAGCATTAATATTTTGACATGACATATTAGTTTGGTGCGTCCATCTTGTCCGCGCCTGATTACAGACACCATCATAATTCACTTCTTCTTGAACACATTCTCCACATGTCGCTCTCCAGAGGCCTGCAGCTGCTGCTCGCAATGAAGAGACATGTCACTGCTGAGCCCTGCATGAACTTCAAAATGATAAAACATGTGCACTGTTGACAAAGCAATACAAAATTACATAGATTATTGTCTATGATGTTAAAAATAATTATAATAATGCAATGGTTTAATATAGCGCTTTTTTGGACACTTAAAGATACTTCCCACATGGCATTATTCAAGTACTCCAAAAAAGAAGGTAATAAACTACATAATAATACTGATAATACTACAGTAGCTACAGCTGCCCTACAAAATGTTTTCCGCATTCTTAACCTGGACTTGATTGTTAGATGTATTGTCTATTATATCACTTTGTGGGGGACTGAGGGAACAACACGATACCACACACACAAGATTGGATTTCACCATAAAACAAAAGGCACATGCAGGATTCTCACTGGTGAACTCTGAAATGTTCTTAATATTTTGCAGTTGAGTTGGAAGGTGGTCATTTATACATATACTGAATGTGTCAGTGCTTATTGTACTTACACAATAACATCATAGATTGAGAGAAGCACAGTCATTATCCGCCCACTCAATCCCAAATAGTTTCCTCTTAACTCAGAGCCTGCTCTTCTTCAGCTGCCTGCATTGGTCAAACCACGAGTTTAAACTATTGAATGTGTCATGGTGTGGATTTTATTTTTCGTATTTGGATTTATTTTGATTAGTTCTCTGGTTTCATTTCAGTTTTGCTTCATGTCCTGTTCCCCTGTTGATTCTCTGCCCCGCCCTGATGTGTTTCACCTGTGTCTGTGTGTGTGTGTCTATATGTACCCTGTGCTCCTGTCCCCTTGTTGCTGGTTCATTGTCTTGTCAAGGTCTGTTCTGTTCCTGGTTGCTTTGGTGTTTTTTTTTTTTTACCTTGGAATTTATTTGATTAAATCTTTATTTTGGCATTCCGGCGTTTGAGTTCTCACTCACCCCACCCCGTGACAGAATGAACACTAAACAGATATGCACATTCACAGAAATACATATTTTAAAATGAAATATGTATTAAATTATTTCCATGGCATGATTTGGATCAAACCGATTCTTGATGGGATTTGCTTTTACTGCTCAATAATATGGAGCGGCGAAGTGGGCGGCTATTCCATTTTCCAGGAGTAAAATTCCCTGTTTCAAATCCCCTTAGGAGTTTTGAGAAATCCTAACATTAAGAGTTGAAGACACAACGGAGGCTTAAAACCTTGTAACAGCCCACAGCAGGTGTTTTCAGCAACGTGTTTAGTCTGGCAAAGGTATATAGGAGGATATTCCCAGATTTTAGGAAAATCTGGGAATATCTGTCCTAAAATCTGGGATTTTAGGAAAATCTGGGAATATCTGTCGGTGCACACAGAGTACCTTTTTTTGCAAATGTATTCCAATGTAGTTTTTATACTGCACATGGCTAATAAAATGAATCTGAATCTGAATCTGAACCGCACTCTACACTTTTTGAACAAAACACTATCCACCCAGAAGTAGTTAAATCCTCCTATATATGTTTGGAAAAAAAC